TTGTATTTCAGAAAACAAATTCAAAAGCTGTTCAGGAGCCTCCGGTACAAGGCCTTATGATAGTCCGTCTGGGAAAATGAGACATAGCAATGAAACATTAATTTCAGTGTATGAGTAAGTTAATATCAGGATGAAGGAGGGCGTAATTCAGAGTTCAAGGAAGCGCGGGGGGTTCGCGGTGGACAGACGCCGTCAGGAGTAGCTTCACAGCAGATGAAGCACCGGCTGGAAGAAGCTTTGTGTCCACGTGTACCTAGGCTTCCTTCCACAGTCGCGGGGACCGGTAGAGGCCCTGAGGCAGGAGCCGCAGGCTGGGACGGCAACTCCCGCAGAAGCTTCTTGCTGCTGCCCCAGAAAAGCCAGGGTCTGCTGATGTGGGTGTACATTCTGGCACTGCGAGGGTGGCCCGGAAAAGCCCCAGATTTTCTGCCAGCGTCGTTCTCAGGATGAGCCGAGGGCCTGGGGACGGCGGCCGCCCAGTCCGGTTCCGACAGAGCTGGGTTTAAGGGCCGGGCACACGGCTGATGTCCGGCTCCGCGGGGCTTGCGGAAGAGTGACTTTGGGGCCTCTCCGAGACCTGGGGCCCTGTGCTCATTCATCCCTTTCTCAGGGGGAAGCCGGCTCTTTACACCCCCAGTTAAATGAGCACGCGGCCCTGGGCCCCTCCTCTGCACTGTTTACTGGGCTATTGTTTTTCGTGTTCAACAGGAGAGAAATGGCATTTCCTGCTGGAGTTGGGGGAGCGGAGGGTTTTGTGTGCAAAGCCCCTTCCTGCTCACTTGGCGCGGGCTCGGGATTTGGGGGCCGAGCGCTGAGCCCCGAATGTAGTTAGAGACTGTCCCCGGCTGAGGGTCCCCATCCCAAGAACCTGACAGCGATCAGACTGGAGGTGAGGGTGGGAGGTGAGAGCGCCTGGAGGGAGGCAGGAACAGGATGTTTCCATGGGTCAGAACTCACTTCAGACATCTGGAGGAGTTGGAGGCGGCAGATGGTTCCCGAGCTGCTTGCTGCTGAGGAATGAGTAGGTTTTCGTGGTCTGAGCTGAAAGGAAGCCGCACTTCCCAGGTGGGAAGCCCGGCACTAATGGAGGAGGATGAACCGGAGATCAAGAGAATCATCTAATCCGGGGGTAATCCTGCCGGGCGGGCGGCCCGAGGATGTAAAGGCAGCCGAGCTCTGGGGGCATCAAACACAGCCAGGCCCGGGAGTGGCTGGCGGAGTAGCTGGGGCCTCTGACCTACTTGTTCACAAGCCCCACTGCACTGAGAGCCTCTCCCCTGCAAAAGCCAGAGATCTGGGGCAGGGCTCCCTCTAGTGCCCGAGGCCACGTCCCGTTGGGGAGGCCACGGGGAGAGAATGGAGGAGGGAGGTCCCCAGGAGGCAGCCCGGTGCTGTGGGTGTGAGCCCTTTCTCTGTGCCCCCCACCCCGCGCCCCTGTCCCCCACTTACTTTGGCCCAGGCAGGACTCACTCGCTGAACTTCGAGGAACCTGCCATCCACCCTGCTCTCTCTCCTCTTCCCAGGATGACTTCCTCCTGATCCATTACGATAAAGGACCGTGCCGGAACAAGCTGGGCCATTCCAGGGCATCTGTGATCTGGCATCGGACACAGGTAGGAGGTGACTCACCTGGAACTTTGATCCCCGGAAGAGAGAGTGTGTGTGCGAGCCAGTTGGTTGGAGACGTGCTGTTTAGAAAAGTAGAGCTAGGAAAGGTGGGTCCTGCCCGAACTTTTCTTGCTCTGCGGTTGTGCTTCTGGTAGCCCTGGCCCAAAGTTGTGGCAAATAGGCATCGCGTTTGGCGCGTGGTGGTTCTTGGAACGTCAGACTGTAGGTTTCTTGCACCTTACTCATGGCTTTGGCGGTGATCCATTCTGTCGGTTAATTCTTGCATGGCCCTTTATGAAGAGCTTTTTTTCTAGAAGCCTGGAGGTAAGCAAGTTAGTCACAGGAAAGAAAAACAGAAAGAAAGGAAAAAGTCCCTACCTGGTGGTGTCTGAGCAGCAGCCTGTGGGGTTTACAGAGGGCCAGTGCATTAATATTCATTCATACTTTCAACATGCGTTTATTTCCTGCTGCGTGCCGGGCGCTATCCTAGGATAGGGTATTCACTGGAAGAATAAGATTCATCTGTCTTATTCACTGGAACACTTCCAGTGAGTAAGATAGATGTACTCCAGTGAATAAGATAGATGCGTGCCGTGTATAATACACCGGCAGGACATACGTGATAGGAGTTCAACTGTGGAGGGGATGTGATGGGGACTGCGTGGTCGGGAAGGGCCATTCGGTGGTACCCATGGTGGAGTGCTGAGTGGTATTAACCCTAAAAATAAAGCTTCCAGCTATTTTACCAACAAAAATGGGTTTATTTGGGAATAGCCTGGAAATGCAGCTTGGGACATACAAGCTACAGCCAAATCACAGACCAGTCTGGAGAGCAAAGGGGAGGAACTCTCTTTTATAGAAGCAAGGGGGCGCTGGGAAGCCCCTCACACACATCAGAAGTCCTTTGGAATAAACCAGGGGGCTCCAAACGTAGTGGCTTCTCACTGCTGAGTTGTGAGCGTTTCATTGGCTGGGTTGTGGCAGAGGTGGTGGGGGAGGAAACTGTCCTTCCTCCTTCTGGGGAAACAAAGTAGTAGCTAAAGTAGGATCCAAGTGCGAGGTCCCTGTTGGGTCTGCCCTTGAGGACAGTGGTGGCGTCTGAGCTCTACCTGCTGGCCTCCTGATGCCTTTTAAGTGAAGTTTCCTTTAGTAAATTTCACAGTGATGAGGAAGAGCTGGCTGGGGGAGAGGGGGACAGGGCGGAAGGGACAGTCCAGGCAGAGGAAGGACATTCTAGGCACAGGGGACAGTTCAGGCGGAGGAGGGGCAGTCGCAGAGGAGGGGACAGTCCAGGCAGAGAAGGGGTAGTCTAGACATAGGGGACAGTCCAGGCAGAGGGGAGACGGTCCAGGCAGAGGGGGAACCGTATGCGCAGGGGACAGTCCAGGCAGAGGGGAAAGTCAGGCAGAGGAGGGGACAGTCCAGGCAGGCAGAGGGGACAGGGAGGGTTGACTGGTAGGACCTTGGCGTGAAGGTCCAAGGAGACCGAGCAGGGTGAGGCAGAGGGTCAGAGATGCTGTCAGAGGATAGACCCCAGCGGCTCGAAGGGCCTCTGCCCACTCTCACGTTTCAGCGCCTGTGCGGCTGGCCGAGGTGGGTCCGCCGGCCCATCTCGGGTAGAGGAGCCGGTCTCAGGGCAGATGCCCTGTGAGTCACTCACTCGCCATCATTACAGCCCACGTGGCCGAGCCAACGAGGTGCATGCCGGAGGGGGCTGACAGAGGCCTTCTGGCAGGGGGGCCGGTGGCAGAAAGTGTCGGGGTTGCCAGCGGTGAGTTCTCTATTGCAACCCTCAGATGTGCCTAGTGGGGAGCAGCAGCTGCGGGCAGTGTGTCAACACCGATCTGTGGCTGGGTTCCAGGAACGAGCCCTCTGAGAAGTGGGTGGAGGATTGAAGTGGTGGCGGTCGCACGGTTCTCTGGACACCAGACACCAGTGACCCGCGCACCCGCCTGGGTGGGCTGTCAGCGGTGCGCACTGTGCAGCCCAGCAGAGCTGTTAGAGACTTGGCCCCGGGCCCGAGCTCTGACCAGGGTCTGGAGAGACAGGTGCATGTCCTGCCTCCTGCCAGCACAGCCACCTTGGGGCTCAGCCCCACCTGTGTGTGAGTTTGGCCGTCTGTGGTCATTCACGAGGAAGCGTCTGAACAGCACGGCAGCAGAAGCGTGTGCCTCAGGGTCTGGAGCCATGTCAGGCACCAGGTATCACGGGGCCACACCCCCTCTGAAACCTATAGGGGACCCCATTCTTGCCCATTCTGGTGGGGGCCATCGGTCCGCACTGTTCCTCAGCTCACAGATGCTTCCCTCCAGTCCTGAGTGCTGGCCGGGCCGTCTGTCTGTGCAGCTCTATCTGGGTCCCTATTCCCCTTCAGTAAGGGCACCAGTCCCACCCTAAGAACCTCATTTTAACATGGTGACCTCTATAAAGATGCGATTCCCAAATCAGGCCACGTTCTGAAGTCCTGGGGTCAGGACTCCACATAACATATTTGGGGGGACAGGATTCTACCCATAACGATATCCGCACCCTCTCCCCCACGCAGGAAAGGGAACCATAGCGAGGCCACGTTCCTCCTTTGCTGTCCTCCTCCCGTGTCTGGTGGGGATGAACCGCACTGATTTGGGCTCCCTGCCTTGGCACAGCAGCCCCGTAAGGGGAGGCTGTCGTGTGCACCTGTGAGGGATCACTGGCAATCAGGGCAAAGGGAGGACTCGGGGATCATGTTCTGCTCCAGCCTTTCCCATGTAGGGAATGATCCCCAGCCGAGGGAATGTGACTTGCTCAAAGGTGGCTACCTATTGCTGTGTGACAAGCCTCCCCAAATGCATTGGCTTCATATCCTCACGTTCGCCGTGTTCACCATCTGCAGTGTGAACAAGGGCCCTCAGAAGGCTTGTCTCGGTCCCCATTGGCGTTAGCCGGGATAGAAGTTCCTTCAGTGTCCTTCAGTTCCTTCGGGGTAGTTGGACACAGCAGGGCCCTGGCTGGTGCTGGATCTGGAGTTCCTAACCGTGTCTGTCCACGTGGCCTGAACTTCCAACCACATGGCAGTTAGTGGCAGGTGTGAGTCCCCCAGGACAGAGCGAGGGCAAGATGGGAGCTGTGTCCCCCTTTCTCCTGGAGCCTGGGCAGTCACACCTTATCACGTGTGCCTGTTCATTCAGACGGAGAGAGTTACATGTCCCTGGGGGGTCCTGGGCAGCACTGAGATCCTGGTAACAGTCATTAACAGGACTAAAGAAATACACTTGAGAAAGAATCCAAGACACAAGGGTCCATACCCTGCGCTAGCCTGAAACCCCTTTCTACTAGAAGCTCCTTTTTGGCTCCTGAGTGCCCGCTCGGAGCTAGGTCCCGAAGCCACTTGGGTGCCCCTGATCGCAGGAACTGAGCGGGAGAATTGAACAGAAGCATGCGCTGTGTAGGGTCCCACGGAGACATCTTCTCTGTGGTGCGAGAAGCTCCCGGAACGGATAAGGCCATAGCTACAGAAGTAGAGGGTGTCCACAGGTTAGTGTTAGATTTGGGGAAAACGGTAAAACACTTGCGAACCAGTGTCAAAACGAAGAAAAGGTAAATCACAAAACACGCAAAGTAGGGGAAGTGGGAAGGGGTGGGGCCACGGTCTGTGGGCTGGGACTCAC